AAATAATACAAATTAACAGTGGTTGTTATATTACATATTGCTATCCTCAACTACGTTACTCAGGTTACCAGATGTAAGAATGGAAGACTGTTCAAACCATTGAAAACAATAAGAAAGTAATTATTAGATAAAACATTAGAGATAATATGGAGTTTCACTAGACAAGATGGTAGGAATTCACCATGGTAATTCCACTGCATATTGTTACCTTCAAATCAGTTGCTCAGATTATCAGATATAAGCATACAAAATTGATCAGAACATAAAAAATTTTAAGCATTAACTGTTCCTTTCAATATACCATCACACATCAGCAATACAGTTATCATTTATTCAATATATATACTTATATTTTACCTTCCTTCTTTCTTTTTTCTTCTTTCCCTCATCCCAGTCGTTCCTTCCTTTGAGCAATTTCTTTCCCTTTCCTATCATCTATTGTACATTTTGAGTTTTACTTATTCTTTCAGGTTCCTACACCAAGGAGACAATATGATGTTTACACATATGGGTCTGATTTATTCCATTTATAAGTATGGTCTCTAGTTGCATCCATTTACCTACAAAAGCCTTGAGTTTATCTTTTTTTATAGCTGACTAATACTCCATTGTATAAAAATATCACATCTTTTTTATCCATTCCTCAGTGGATGGGCATTTGGGTTGTTTCCAAGATTTAGCTATAACAAATTGTGCTGCTATAAACATGGGTGCACATATATCGCTGTGGTATGATGTTTTTAATTCTTCTGGGAAAATATCCAGAAGGGGAATAGCTGGGTTAAATGGAACTTCCAATCCTAGTTTTGTGAGGAATCTCCAAACTGATTTCCACAGTAATTGCACCAGTCTACACTCCCACCAGCAGTGGAGTAGGGTTCCTTTCTCCCCACAGCCTCTCCAGCATTTGTTATTGGTTGATTTCTTGATGATAGCCATTCTTTCTAGGGTGAGATGGAATCTCAGTGTTGTTTTAATTGACATTTCTCAAATGACTAATGATGTTGAACATTTTTTCATGTATTTATTTGCAATTAGTATTTCTTTATTTGGGAAGTGTGTATTCATCTCAGATGCCCATTTTTGGATTGGGTCTTTGAATTTGGGGGGCCTGATTTTTAAAAATTCTTTATATGTCCTAGATAGAAGTCCTTTGTCTGAGGGGCAGTTGGCTAAAATTTTTTCCCAATGTATGGGTTGTCTTTTTACTCTATTGGTGATTTCTTTAGATGGGCAAAAACTTTTCTTTTTTTTTTGTTTTTCTCCGGTACCGGGAACCGAACTCACGACCTTGCGCTTGCCAGGCAGGCGCTTTTGCTGCTGAGCTAAATCCCCAGCCCCCAAAAACTTTTCAATAAGATAAGATCTCAGTTGTTGATTCTCTGAAGTATTTCCTGTGCAGTTTGGTTTTTCATGAACTCTCTGTCTACCCCAGTGTTGTCAAGATTTTTACCTACTTTCTCTTCCAATAAATTTAGTGTTTCTGTTTTAATATTTAGATCTTTGATCCATTTTGACATTAATTTAGTGAATGGTGAAAGATATGGGTGTAGTTTTAGTCTTTGGCATATGGAAAGCCAGTTTTTCCAGCACCATTTATTAGAGAGGCTATCTTTCTTCCATTGAACATGTTTGGCCCCTTTGTCAAAGGTAAGGTGACTGAGTGTGTTTGTAGTTGTGTCTGTGTCTTCTAATCTGTTCCACTGGTCTTCAGGTCTGTTTTGTGCCAGTACCATGCTGATTTTATCACAGTAGCTTTGTAATATAATTTCAAGTCAGGAATTTTGATGCCACCTGCCTTACCTTTGTTTCCCAGGATTGCTTTTGCTATTCAAAGCCTTTTCTGCTTTCAGATGAACTTTAGGAATGTTTTCTCTAGATCTGTGAGGTATACTAATGATATTTTAATTGGGATTGCATTGAATCTGTACAACAGTTTTGGGAGTATGGCCATTTTCACAATGTTGGTTCTTCCTATCCATGAGCAAGGAATATCTTTCCATTTTGTAATATCCTCTTTGATCTAGGTCTGACTTTCTTAAACAACCTTAATGTAGCCTCTTAGAGTCATTCTAATAGCATAGAAGTAATTTAAATTATTAATGTGATACAACTGCTTGCTTTCTCCTTCCTTCCTCCCTCTATCCCTTTTTCCGACCCTATGAAACATAGAAAACTGTCTTTCTACCTGCCATGCGTAGGAGAACATCTTCCTTACAATGAGCTTGATCTGACTTTATTTTTCTGATTTGGTTAGCTTCATTGGAAAATGAATCCAACTTAAACTGTGTACTCCTTGGCTTTTTAAAAATTGTGTGTCCAAGAGGAATGAATGACAGTTTATCACTTGAGGATCTCTTAAAGAACTCTTGCATTGTAGATGTTTGTGCAGCTTACATTTTTTAAAAAGTGGAACTATATTTTAAATGCACCAGAGAAGTGGGTGGAAGATAACCAGATGTGGTGAAATTTTGGTAGGTGGTCTTGAATTCAGGTGTGTCTCAACACTGTATGTACCCATAAGATGTGTATATCTACAATATTATCTTTCAAGTATATAAACATTCCATTGTCACTGAATACATGTAAATTCATTGAAAGTGTTACTAAATTCGTGAACAATACTCATTACATGTTCTCCCCAACAAACTATAGTGACTATGTGGGGGTGTCTGTGAAAATTTTTGACATGAAGACATTGGAAAATATCATAAAGCTCTTAGAATTTTTTTTTTTTTGGTTTTTCTCTGGTACCAGGAACCGAACTCATGACCCTGTGCTTGCCAGGCAGGCACTTTTGCCACTGAGCTAAATCCCCAGCCCCAAGCTCTTAGAATTGAAGAATACTTCTGTAAAGTAATAATTGCCTAAGAGTAAGTATAAATTGTGAAGCAAACATTTCACCGTCCTACGGACACCTCTATATTTCTTTAGTTTCTAGTCTGTCATGTGATTCAAGATATTAAATCAGACATCTTGCTGTAATTTATGTTTCTCTTTGGGACCATATCTTGGCAAATAAAACAGAATCATGTGGACATGAGGTAAAATTAGTTCATTTGTCATGGCTGAGCTCTGGGGTCGGTCCCCCCGCCATGAGTCTGTGGCCTTTTTCAGAGCTGTATTTGTTAGGGGGCAATGAACTGGATAGCAGATTTTTTTGTTTGCAACTCTTCTATTTTTTGTAAAAAAATTTTCATTATAGATCCTTTAATTCCCTGTGGAAAATTTGAAAATGCTTGCATAAATAAAGGTTAAAAATGTGATCCACCAATCATATTATTACTATTCTTTTAATTTTTTTTTAACATTTCCTTACGATTTTTTGCCCACAGCACACATTAGGCCCTGATTCAATCCCCTGTATCAAAAGGAAAAAAGGTTGGATGATATCTAAATGAAGTAGTGAAAAATTGAACGTGAAACATTAAGTAACAATCCAACTCAGTTTCAAAGCCCAAAGGATAGGGAAAACCCAGCCTTCTATAACTGTCATACCTGTGCTGGGAAAAGGAAACTACCCTCTTTTAAATTACTCTGGGACTAGGGGTTCACCTGCCCAAGACAAAGTACGACTGCCAATACGGTTTTTGACTTCTGATAAAATTAAATGGTTTCCTTAAAAATAAAATGGAGAAACTAGAATGGTAGAAATTTGATGGCCAAAAGGCTGGCTGATGCCTGCAGGGGATTTATTGTACTGTTGTACCATTCTCATTTTTTGCGTTGAAAGTTTCCACACTGAGAGGTGCAGACAAAAATGAATAATACTTTTGAGAGACAAAGAGGTAGATAACCCTGTGGCTGTTATGTGCCAGTCGTAATTGGCTGTATCAGAATCACTTGGGTTTGTTAAAAATACCCTTCCTATGATCTCAGCTTGGACCCTCTGAATCAGAATCTCTGAGGAAGGGTGGCTGGGAGTCTGCCTTTTTTAATGAGCTCCCCAGACCATTTTGTCACTTGGCCAAATTTGAGCACTATGGATTGAACCAGAGTCTGGGAGTATTTTGTCGAAATCAGATCTTGCTTATCTTTTTCTCTCATTGAAGATGAGATATAGGAACTGCTGTTTGCTTAACAAACAAGTATCAATATCTTGTTCTATGGCTGTCTCTGAGCTGGGTGCTGAGAAATAGGGATTTATATGAGTGTCTTCCTGGGACTGTCTGGTAAAGAGAGATAGATGCTTTAAAACTTCGGGAAAATAAAGAAAAGAATGGGACTGAGGCTGTCTGTTTTCCATAGTGCTGGAACATACCAAGCCACACTTAAAAATCTCTCCCAGTCTTTCCTCAAGGTTGTATCTGAGCCCCAAATAAGTTACAAGTAAAGATGCCAAAAAATTCCTTAATAGTATATCAGTCCAGTGCTATCTCTAACCTTAAAAAGTTTAAATATTGTGTGTTTTACCTTTATTTTTTTAATCTTTAATTTAAAAAATTTTTTTGAGACAAGGTCTCACTATGCAGTTCAGGCTGGCCTTGAGCTTACTTTGTAGCTCAGGTTGGTCTTGAACTTGCAGTGATCCTCCTGCCTCAGCCTCCCAAGTGCTGGGATTACAGGCGTGTGCCACCATGCCAGGCTTATGTGTGCTTTACCTTTAGAAAGTTACTGGTTATGGAAAAGGCATTTACAAAATAGAACAATGAGAACCAACCCGGTGTACTTACCTATCACCCAGCTTTAACAATTTTTATTTCACAGTGAATCTTACTTTATCTGAGTGCCCATCTTCTTCCAACTCTGCACTTCCACTGTATCATTTCACATGGGTCTATTTCAGTCTATATGTGTAAGGGACATGTGTTCTTCTTATATACATAACCACAGCATCGAGGTCATATTTAAGACATCAACAGTCATTCTTAATATCACCAACTATCCAGTCAATGTGCATGTCATGCCAATTTTCTTCTAAAATTTTTTAGTTTGCTTATGTTGGTATCCAAATAAATTCTGCTCATTACAATTGATTGATATAGCTTAAGTAACTTTATTTTTCATAGTGTTTTTCCTCTTTTTGATTGTTGAAAAAGCCAGTTTTGTTCTATAGATTTTTCCAGAATCTTAAATGGTGTCCATTTTTTTTGTTTTACTGTTATCTAATGGTTGGATCTAGTGCTTTGACCCTTCAAGCACATTTTAGTTGTACTTGGGAAAATGAGTGAGTCTGATGAGCCAGGTGCTGACAGCACATTGCTCTGAGCAGTAGCCCGGGGGTGAGGGGGGAGTGGATGTTTTGAGTGCCCACTGTATGCAGCCTCTGTGCTGGGTTCTTTCCATATGCTGCTGTATTAACTCAAGTGCTATGTTGGGTTGAGAGGGCCAGTCCCTTTTCCAAATGAGGGTAGCTCTGGCTTGTAATTAGTGGGTGGAGTAAGGATGGGAACTGGGGTCCGTGTGTCTCTGGTCCCTATGCACACAGGGCCACAGCACTAGGCAGGCATGTAAAAGATGTGCAGTTGCACAATGGTGAGGCGAGTCAGGCCTTTGGACACAGTGTCAAGGGGTAGAGGGACATGGGAGAGTATAGATCCTGTTCAGAGGAGCCTCTCCCAACTCTTGCTGTCACACAGGATGTGACTCAGTGTTGCCAGATCTTGGAGTTGTCAAATATCTGAATCTCTGTGGGAGATCTCTAGATCTCAAAAATATTTGCTGCTGCTCTCTGGGTTTGGGCCTAGGTTGCGTCGATATGGCCAAACACACCAAGGTCAGCGTTGTCGGTAAATACGGGACTCGTGATGGTGCCTCACTCTGGAAAATGATGAAGAAAATTGAAATCAGCCAGCGTGCCAAGTACACCTGCTCCTTCTGTGGCAAGACCAAGAGGAAGAGATGGGATGTAGGAATCTGGCACTGTGGTTCTTGTATGAAAACAGTGGCTGGTGGTTCCTGGACCTACAATACCACTTCCGCAGTCACAGTCAAGTCAGCTGTCAGAAGACTGAAGGAATTGGAAGACTAGTAGAAACTCTACTATTTGAGACATCCCTAGCCTATAATAAATAGGTTAATTTGTGTAAAAAGATATTTGCTGCTAATTCAGCTTTCTAAAAAACACTGTGTAGGGCAACACTTTGGATCAAACCAAACAAACCTGCAGTCCCACACCACAGTGCTGGGAAGTATGTCCGCTGAAGACTGGTACGCAGGACCCAAGGCCACTGTCAGAGGGAACTGTTGCCCTTGAAGCCAGAGAAAGGGAGTGTTTGCAGCTGCTGAAAGATGTGAGGTGACCGTGGAGCAAATCTTCAGAAGACAGATGAGCATTTAGAAAAAGCAGTATTTCTGAAGTCTGAATAGATATACTTTGACAAAGGGACAGCTTTCATTGTGGTCCTCTCATTTTCATAGTCTGTGTCCCAGATGGTATTGTGAACACTTTTTAAGTACTTGGAAGTATCATTTAGATCGCATCACAATCCTGGGAAGAATAGCCTCTCACTATCCCTGTTCCTAAAGGCTTAGAGAAGTGGCAAGGTTGAGATTTGAACCCAGGTGGACTCCAAGCCTGTTTACTTATTGCTATTGTGTGGATCTGGAGTGTCCCCTGAGCACCCGTGTGTCAAAGGCTTGGTGCCAGGTTGGTGCTTTTGAGAGGAGATGGAACCTATAGGTTATCACAGGTGAACTCTTAAAGGGATAAATGCATCGTGGGAATCCAACTCCTTCCTATCTCTTTCTTTCTACTTTCTGGTCATGACATGAGCAGCTTTGCTCCACTCTGCACTCTTCACCATGAAGCACTGTCTACACACAGGCCCAGAGGCAACAAGGCTAGTCAGCCTCCAGAACTGTAATCTCTAAAACTGTGAGCCAAAATAAACCTTCCCTCTTTTTAAGTTGGTCATCTCAGGTATTTGTTATAGTGACAGGCAGCTGACTTGTACACTTGATACTCTATATGGTCTTTCTTGATAATGCCTTAGTCAAGTCAAGGCATTGACTATTAGGAGCTGGATTTAATTGTCTGTAAAGTGCTAAAGTGTTATGCTCTGTCTTGAGCTTTTATTCAAAGAGTATTACCTCTTTCTCTTAGGTAATATGTGAGAAGTCTGAATATAGGTGTGTGTGTGTGTGTGTGTGTGTGTGTATATGTGTGTGTGTGTGTATTTGGGTATATGTATACATATGATTTTTATTGGCTGCCATTTATACCCCAATTTTAGTTAGATAATTCCTTTCCCAAACACTTCATTATTCTTTACTATTTCAGTAGCAGATATATGACAGAACAATTGATTTTAAAATGAATATCATTTGTCCCATTTTTAGTTCAGCAGGAATTTCAATATTTTAAAAAATGAATTAATCAAAAAAATAAGATAATTTTTCTTTGCCGTCTACAAGGTGGTAATGCACAGACATTGAATTTAAATTTAGGAAAGCTGGGAGGGAAGCCTTGCTGGTGACTTGGGTTTCATTCTTTGTGCAAGGAAAAACAGTTTGTCACAGTTATTTGCAAGACAGTTAACAAGCCTACAGCTCATACAGACAGTCATTTTCTTCCTCTCAGGCGACTCAAGGCTTTCTTATTACTGGCTAAGGTGACTGATGAGGGTCATGCTGGCTTTGCTGAGATAAAGAGGCAGGGCATTTGGCAGTCATGCAAAGAAAACCCCTGCCTGGGCTCAGGGCATTCACGCCTTCAATAACTCCTCACTGAACTTGAAGACAAAGATCTTTTCTTCCACGCAGCTTCCTCTCTCCTTGTCTAGACATTCTGCCAGTGGTCTCCTAGCTACAGGAGTGCAGCACTCCAGTCCCACAAGCCCCGAGGCCAGCCTCCTGCCACCAGTTAGCGGGTGAGTGTTGGGAGAGGCGTCCTTTGTATCCAGCTCTAGGAGAGCAGCTAATATCTTGTTCCCAAGAGGAAGTCATGGATCCTGAGGGAGGTTCCTCAGGATTAGAAACTGAGCTTAGGGATACTTCACCATAGCGATGGCATCACATTTAAAGCTGCATGGGTCAGTACAGAAGCTTCTAGCCACATGTAGCTATTTAAAACGTTTTAAAAAATGGGCTAAACAATTCATAAAATTGATCATTTCAGCCATTTCTAATTATATAGTCCGGTAGTGTTAGGTACCTTTACACTGTTGTGTGATCAATCTCCAGAACTTTCCATTTTGCCAAATGGAAACTCTGTACCCACTAAACAACTCTCTATTCCCAAGCCCTAGAAGCCCCATTTCTATTTCCTAGTTCTGGGTGTCTGGCTAATCTTGATACCTTGTGTATTGTGCAGTACAGATTGAACATCCTGCATCAGAAAATCTGAAATCTGAAACTTTTTGACACAAGAATGGAAAATTGTACACCTGATTGCATATGCTATGGGCCTCAATGAAAATGTAGGTACACTAAAAATATTATATAAAATTGATTCCAGGCTATCTATTTAATGTGTATATGAACTATAAGTGAATTTTATGTTTAGACTTGAGTCTTATTCCCAATCTACTTCATTATGTGTATTCTAAACATATCTGAAATCTAAAACACTTCTACTAAGGATTTTGGATAAGGGATACTCAGTTTGTGTTTGTGCTTCCTGCGATTGGCTAATTTCAATTAGTATAGTGTTGGCTATTTAATTCTAAGTTAATTAAAAATTCATCTCAGTTGCACTAGCTGCATTTGAAGTACTCAGTAGTCCCATCTGGTTAGTACTAGATGTACAGTACTACTGTACTGTACTAGACAGTACAGATGAGAATATTTCCAACATCTCAAGAAGTGTTACTGGACAGAAAACTGCTGTATTACACTGAGAAGTGACTCAGAGGAAAAAAATACCAGACATATTATCTTATACCCAGCCAGGTAATGAATAATCTGATGACTTTTACTGCAAAAATGATAGAAGCACCAAGATATTTTCATATTTCCAACTTGTGGTTTTATCTCAACTTCTCATCTTTTAATAAATTCCCTCTCCCCTAGCAGCCTGCACCATTAAAAATAATTTCTATTGGAGAACCTAGAGAACATGGATATATAGTGCAGACTACAGGTAAATACACTTTAAAGTTTCTTAGTGAATGCCTGTCAGCCTGTCCCACTGATGGGAGTTAAATTGGAGTGTCTCATTAATTAGCACTGTTAGTTTATTGCTAGCCTGGCAGGAATCTTAATAGGCATTTGCCACAAAGCAGCCTTATTCTGTAGGCCTACCCTTTAAGCCTGTTGCTTTTAAGGCTTTTCCCTTGTCAGCCACAGTGAGAGAAATGGTGTTTCTCTATGCAGCATATACCCTCATTTATATGTGCTGATGTAGATACCCAAACTTAAAGGTAGAGTTTCTTAGCTGGGCCTGGTGGCTCAGGCCTGTAATCCCAGCAGTCTGAGAGGCTGAGACAGGAGGTTTGTAGTTTTGACCGCAGCATGGGCAATTTAGTGATTTAGACCCTGTCTCAAAACATCAAAGGAAAATCTGGGGATGCAGCTTAGTGCTAAGGTCCTGGGTGCAGTCCCTCACTTCTGGGGGAAAAAGTAGAATTTTCTCTCTCAACATTTACCCTTATACTGTGAGATGCATATTTCTTTTTCTAAAAATGCTTTTCTAAAAAAATGTTCTTATCCACTGAATTGATTTTGTTACCCATGGGAGGCCACAGTGTGTACCTCTTGGAAACGCTGATTTATAGGCACCTGAGTTCAGTTTCAGGCCTACAGCATTACACCGAAGCACCGCCAGCAACCACCCCCACCCCCATAGAAAGTGAGACACCGCTTAGAGGAGGTGGGTGGAGGTTTGAAGAAAAGTGAAATGATCAAAAATTCATTTAGGAGAGAGATGAAAATTGACCCAGCAGGTATAAAAGGATTTCCAGGTGGAAGCAAGGACCACCTTCCTGGTTGTTCAGTGAGGATTAGGAGCTACATATCAGGAGAAATGGAATTGATCCCTAGAACTCCTACCTTTAGCTTCTGGAGGAAAGAATTTCCTTAAACCAACCCTGATGACTTCAGTGGCTACTTCCTGAGGTTTTTTTTCTTGAGTCTTTTTGGAATGACTCTACCCAATCCTTCCACCTCTTCTTTGCTACTTCGGTTTTTATGGATGAGGGCACATTTTGTCACTAGACTAAGTAGGGATTTCACAAATCATTATTTTGGGATCATCAGAAGCCTTAACATGGAAATCTCCTTTTCTGGGTTGTTTTGGGAAATGGAATGGCTACCCTGCTCAGTGGAGTTCTCACTAGCCTCAAGTGGCTACTTAAAATGTAAATGAATCACCGTTTTGAATAAAAGTGAGAATTTGGTTCCTTAGTCTTATTTACTACTGTTCGGTAGTCCCAGCAGGCTAGTGGCCATCATAGAGGAGAGTGGAGATGCACATTGCCTTCATCACAGGGAGAGGCCAAGTCCTGCTCAGGCCTCTCTCAGCCTGGTCAGTGCACGACAGAATGTGCTCGCAGGCAAAACAAATGGACAGTTAGACCAGCTAGTTTGCTACTGACTGATAGTTTGCTGGTTGATTTAGCTGTTTTACTGGATATACATTTTTGATGATACACTGAAATTGCACTCCTTTCTGTCATTCCCAGTCATTCATAAAATTCAGTGGAAAAGCCAGCCTCCCTGGGCCCACGTTTCTTGTTTCTCTTGCCTGTCTCCACATCACGGGCAAGTGACTTCGCTGACGTGAGGACCAAGCAGATGCCCTGACTGAAGACTAGGTGCTTGTTCAAAATCCTGTGGGTTTTATGTATTTTCCACAGGTATATCTTGTAAGTGCAAGGCCAATAGATTCCTACCGTTTTTTGGGATCGAGTAAAGTAAGAGTCTGTTCCTAAATCAGACATGAGCACTTTATAAATGGTGCAAGGATGGGGGAGGAAGGGAAGTCCTGTTACATACTTGAGGCTGAAATTCCTCTCCTTCTGCCAGCCTTGCTCCACCTGCCAGCAATTCTTCCTCTTCTCTATAAAGTCAATAACTCCAGAAGCCCTCTGTGAAGCCATTTTATATTACAGTTATTCTAGGTCTTACTTGTACATAGGAATTCTTTATCTCTCTCTATCCCTCAAGTCTGCAAATATAGCAGTTTTTGTGGACATGAGGAAGGTTAAGGGAAGAAAGAACTGGACTCTGTTTTTTTCCTTTTTTTTTTTAAAGTGGGTAATGTTTTGGGAGCTAGGAGGGAATTATTTTCAGGGTTGTAAGAGGTCTGCCATCTCTGTACCCTGGAAGGGACCTGCTCTAAGCAGAGCAGTAAGGACTCTTAACAGCTCAGGGTGGGGATATACAGGGAAGCCTGATGTGACCTGGGCAGAAATAGCACCATAGTCCCTCACAGGGGTGTTACTAAGCATAGAATATTGCAGGCTTCAGTTTGATAACTGCTGTATATATGAATGAGGCAAGTCAATTTTGATTGGCTTGCTTGGCAGAACTTTTGAGATGTCACTTGTATTTTAACTGTCAGACCCCAAGGTATCATTTATGTAGCCTCCATAATTTGTAAAATATGTTTCCAAGCATCATTTTATTTGATACGTATGAGAAACCTGTGGGCTGGGACAAGACATGTGCAAGAGGAAACACAGGCTCAAGGAGATAAAGTGATTTGCCCAAGATCACACAGTTTGTAGGTGGTGGAGCCAAGCTTTGCATTTCAGTCTAGTGAATGCTTTTCTGAGCACAGTGCTTTACTTCTCACACGTTGGACTTGGCATAAAACCCATTTGCACTAGATAATTCATGACACAAATACAATAGTTGGTTCAATAGATGTGTTTTTTGAGTAGTTATAATGCAAAAGGTTAGAGAGGGGGCTTCTGTAGTTGGGTGGCATGAGTCCTTCCCTCAGGGAGCTTTCTTTGAAAGAGTATATTTTCAAGCGACAAATGTTCATTACTCTAGAACAAACTTGGTGTGTTAAATAAAGCTTGTGGGTACTGAATAAATGACCGAGTCCTTTATAAACGTCTTCCTGAAAGCAAGCAGTTTTGAATCAAATCCTTAAGGCTGTGCACAAAGGCTAAGGGAAGGGCATTGTGTAGGATTGATGGTAAGAAAAGAGAGTTGTACAGAGTCCTGTGTTTGTGGATATTAGGAAACTAGGTAAGAATTTGTGTTCATTATTAGTTGAGAATGTGCTATACGTAAGATACCGTATACAGCTGAGTCACAGTGGCATGCAAAATAGACCTGGTTCCTGCTTTCAGACTGCTTAGTCTTTGGGGGTAGGTAGGAACTATTGATTGTTGATAGTAAAATAATTACACAAATATTTTAGATTATAATAGTTATCACAAAGGAAAAGGCAGAATTCTTTAATAGTGACATAAATTAAACTGACATTTGAGCTGCTATATGAAGCTACAGGAATTACTAGGCGAATAGTTTTGATGTAGGGAGCGGGAAAAGGAAAGCTTATGTGTGGGGCATGCACAATGGCCTATGGCCTACAGAGGACCTGAAAACGGCCTGTGTGCTGGAGTTGTGAAAGTGGGGGGTGGGGGTGTATGAGATAAAGCTGGGAGGGGACACAAGGATGATCAGATTTTGGTCTTTATTCTAAGAGCTGTGGGCAATGTTAGAAGCATTTTGTGCAGCAATTACACAAGCAGATTTTCTTTTGAAAAAGATTACTTTGTCTGCACGGTGGAGAATACTTGGAGGGGGAATGATAGAGGTTTTGGAGCAACCCCTTAAGAAGCTACTGAGGGTAGAGATAATGTAGCTTGGTGCAGGGTGGTGGCATTAGGGATGGAGAAGAGTCGCTAGTTTCCATAGAGATGTAGAAGCTCAAGTGTATAGAACTTAGTCACATGTTGAGTAATGGAGAAACAGATGGCAGAGATAGTTTCTGAGCCCAAGTTGCTTCAACAGGATGGATGGGCAACTGACCTTTGAAATAGGGAACATTGCAAATGGACCCAGTTTGGGGAAGAAGATAAATTCAACTTTGGATGTCAGGGAGGTACTTGGATCTGTGGGTCAGGAGCTCAGATTGAGAACTGAGTGGGAATTAAATATGCTTAACTGATGAGGGAAGCTCTGGACATGCCTAAATTTTCCCAGAAAGAAAAGAGCATTAAATGCAAAAAGAAGGATTAAATAGACAGGATGCGTGATTGCCATTTAGGAGAGAACAAGGCAGCCCAGGAGCCACTGGAGAGGTGGGAGGAAACCTGAAATGTTCTTGAGTGTTATGTCACTGAGACAGAGTAAAATAATTGTTAAAAGGGTGATGGTAATATTATTTTTAGACTATGTTATTTCTATATTATTTCTAGACTAATTTTCTCATTACAGCCTAGAGTCTGTTAATGTGGTTGCCATGCATCTCTAGGTCCAAGGTACCTGTGTAGTGCACCGTTACCAAGTCCAGGTGGCTATTGTCTCTGTGTATCCTGTATCCTCTGGTTCTGCATCTGTAGAGTCAGCCAGCCTAGGAAGGAAAATACAGTATTTGGAATGGGAGGGGTGGAAGTGCATCTGTACTGAACATGTACAGACTTTTTGTCTTGCTGTCATTTCCTAAACAGTACAGTATGTTAATTAATTTATATAGCATTTATATTGTATTAGATATAAATAATTTAGAAATAATTTAATGTACAGGAAGATGTGTGAAGGTTATATACAAACACTATACATTTTATATAAAGGACTGAACATGTGTACATTTAGTGTTTGTGAGGGGTGCTGGAACCAATCCCTGTAAATACCAAAGGATGACAGAGTATTTATTTATTCATTTATTCATGTGACAGATTGCAGTGTGAGTGTGCGTGTGTCTTCTGCCTAGAACAATAATCTCCTTTCCTTTCTCCTACATCACTGTACTTTTGGCTGCCACTGGGATTGGTTACAAATCTGAGCTCATTTAATCCCACTGAGTACCAAACAGTATCTGGTCTCTGCGCTCTGAAATTCGACTCCAAGCGCCCCAGCTTCCCATGCCAGCTGGGATCCTTTAATGAGTTCACCACACACAGCTCACTAGGAGAGGTCTTTGAGCTGGTGAAACATACCTGAAGACCTCACTTCTGGCATGCTCTGCGTCAGGCCTCTTCTCATTCTCTGGCTGCCTTTCTCTTTTCAGGATGGCGGTGGCTCCTCCAAGTTACTGTTTTGTGGCCTTCCCGCCACGCGCTAAGGATGGTTTGGTGGTGTTTGGGAAAAATTCAGCCCGGCCCAGAGATGAAGTTCAGGAGGTTGTGTATTTCTCGGCTGCCGATCATGAACCTGAGAGCAAAGTTGAGGTAAGTTATGCATTGCAGCCTCTCTTTTCAGCCCTGCCTATTCTCTTTCTTTGGCTTTGTCTCCAGCCACCTGACTTCCTTCTTGGAAGTGAGCTCACTTGTCAGATTGTCACACTGTTTGTGCTGATTCTCACTTCTATTCAGATTTGCTCCTAGCCTTAAGAACAAGGTGCAGTGGGGGAAATTCTTTGTTTGTTATGGTTTTCCTTTTGTAATTTAACTAAAATATTTACATGCTTCCAAAGTCAAGTCTATAAAATAAGATATAATCAAAGAAGTCTAACTCCTATTCTTGCCTCCTTTTCTCCATTTTCTTTTTCCTCTGTAGGTACATGTTTTGGAATTTTTTAAATTTATCTTTCCAGTTGAAAATTTACACATGTATATATAATATACTACATATACATATGCTTCCCTCTTTGCTTAGATTAACAATAGCATGTTACCTATACTTTTCTCCATTTTGCTTTTTTCAGCTAAAATTCTATCTTGGTGATCAGGGAATATAGTATATCTAGGTGGTCCTCATTGCTCATTTAGAGATGCACGATGCTCCATTCTGTGGAGGTGCGATAGTATAATCAGCCTCATAATGCTGCTGGACATTTGGGTTGTTTTCCAGTCTTTTGATATTATAAATAGTGCTGAAGTGAATAATAACCTTGAGCGTCTGTCTGTCATAGTGTCTGGTCTTTTTTTTATGTGTTTTGATCATGTTAAAATTATCCATCAATTCTTATTTTGAGTGCTGTAAAAATATTATTTTTGTCAGTATTTCATGGGGATAGATTCTCAGAAATGAGATTGCTGGGCCACAAAGTAAATAAATATGTAATTTTGTCAAATATTGTCTAATTTCCTCCCACTTGAGGGTTATTATTTTATATTCCCATAGTAATGTATAAAAAATCTACTTCTCCATATTCCTAGAGTGTGTTGTCAGACTTTCATGATGGTTACCTTAGGTTAATTTTATACTATGCCATTTTACTAATTTTTTTTATTGGTTATGTCAGCTTTTATTACTGATTCTCTTGGCATTGGTTTCCATGTTTCTTTTTATATCACCTGCAAATGGAGATAAAGTACTTTGATTCTTCTTACATCTCTTGTTTTCTTGTTTGATTGCTTTGGCTTATATCTTAGATGCAATGACAATGAGTAAGGAAATTGTAGATGACTTTGTCTTTGTCCCTATTTGAGTGGGGCTGCTTGTAGGGCTCCCTTATTATATAAGATGCTGGCTTTGGGGCTGAGATTTATTTTGTTTTATCATGTTGAAAACTAGATAAATTTCTATTCTGAGTGTTTTAAAAATGAGAACTCAGGAATAGGTACTAAATTTTGTTGAAAGTCTTCGTTATGAAAATATTACCTATCTTTTCTGTTTATTTGGTAAACTGAGCCATCTTTACATTCGTGGAATAACCTTGTTGGTTATGATATATTTAAGTGTGTGTGTGTGTGTGTGTGTGTGTTTGTGTCTGAATAGTAGCTGTTTGTTCAATGATAAAGAGAGAATTTGGAGAAAAATTCGGAACTGGGGAATGAACAAGCTATTTCCATTCCTCTACTCTTTGGTGTTCTGTATGGAGTTTTTCTGGTTGTCAAGTTTGACTCTAAATGGGTATCTATGCATGTGTATAATATTTTATTTTCTACATCTGAAATCACTGGTTCAGTTTCAGTCTTTTAAAAGAACAAATCAACACTAAGGAGCAACAGAACTCCATGGGAGGTGCTTCTTTTAGGTGAATTTGACAAAGCACTGAAGTGAATAGGCAGGGTTGAGGGTGACTTAGTATGGGTTGTCTGTGGATGGCAGCATGCTGTCCCCTACAGGGCTTTCACCAGAGCCATTTGTCTCTCATGTTGAGCCACCAGCAGTCCAGCCCCTGAAATTTAGTGGGCCTTTCCTGTCTCATAGATGGAAAAGAGTACTAGATTTTCTGGCGAGCTTCTTAGATTTCAGTGGGTATTGATAACTGCAGATTTTGAATGTGAATGGTTCTCCCTTTTCCTGGAACAGAGTGGACACTGTATGGATGAAATTTGCTGGCTTGAGTTGTTCCTGACATTCCCTGTCTGTCTTCCCTGGATATTTTAACCTCCACTCCCAGACATATAAACTGAAATAATACTTTGCCTTCCACACAAGCAGACTTAATTCCCCAAAGGTAGCTGCACCAAATCTCCCAGGACACGTCTCCCTGGGAGAGGTAGGTTCCAATCCACATCCTTCATCCACCACGTACCTCAGTGAAGCTTGTAATCGCTTTGACCAGTGGACCATGTGGAAATGATGCTGTGTGACCTCTAGGACTAGGTCATAAAAGGATATAGCTTCAGCTTTTGTGTCTGTCTGTTTCCCTGGACCTTAGCCCTGGGGACCCACCCATCCATCATGCTTGGAGGAAGAAACCCAAGCTACCCCACATACCAAGTCCACACAGCAGAGCCCATATGGGGAAGACTAAGGTCCTTGTTGACCAGTAGCAGCACTTACTGGACAGGTGAATGAAAGGCCTTCCAGATGATTCCAGACCAGGCACTGGAATGGCGCACACACACCTTCCTGTTTGTGATCCACATGTCTGGTCTATCCAACCCATGAGCATAAAAAGTAGTTGTTTTATTTATACTGCTAAATTTTGGGGGTAATTTGTTGAGAAGCCATAGTATCTATAACATTATATATAAGCCATTTTTAATCATGTCTGAAAGAAGTTTTTCTTTTTTGGAGCGATAGGCTGTATAACTCTTGGTATTTTACTTTTGTGGTTACAATCATTTTAGAAAAGAGACTAGATTTCTTTTACTGGTTAACCTATGGTACATTATTACTTGAGTACCCTGTGGGTTAAGTCATGGCCCCTTATATAAATAGGTACAGTTTAATATATAACATAATTAGTCTCCAGGACAGCCCTGACTTCTTTTCTGAGTTCTGTACCTGGGTTTTGAGCTGCCTCTGTATATCACCACATGCCTATTCTGCAGGTAAAATAACCTCTTAGGACAAAAAACAAATTTATCTTTTCTGTCTCACTTGCTCCTGTTGTTGTAACAGTACCATTGTGTGCTACAGAATTTACACTAGAAACCGGGTGGAAACATTGAACTTCATTTTCCCACATGTCTGGGTGCACAGGGACAATGTCATTGAGCGTTGTTACTTTCTGTCCTGTATCCCCATCTCTGCCCCATGGCCTCAATCTCATTTTAGCTGGCTCTATCCTCCTTTGGCTATAATCTTCTTACTGGTCCCTGGTCTGTGTTTTCTGGATCCTTCTCCATGCAGAATATCAGAATTTTCTTTCCAGAACACAGTTCTGTCACTCTCTTACTGAAAAATAGCATGCAAATTGGAAAATAAGAGTGGTTTCTTAACAGGCTAAGTCCAGGATGATTTGTATGCTGTTCAGAACTCTTCCCAACTGCTACCCTGCTCACTTTTGCTTTCTTTTTTTTTTTAAATTAGTAGGCTTTAAAAAAAAGAACAGTTTAATAATTGCAGAAATATGAATAGAAAGTACTGAGAGTTCTCATCTACCCACTCATCCTGCCTTCCAGTCTTCCCTTTATTAACCGCTTGGATTAGTCTGCTACACTTGTTACAGTTGATGAGCTGATATAAGTACATTTTTATTAACTAAACTTTGTGGTTTACTCTCTGTATTGTATATTATGTGGGTTTCGACATGCATATAATGATATGTATCCACTATGATGTTTCACAGAAATACTTCTGCTGCCCTAAAAGTCCTCTGTGCTCCTCATCTATTCATCCCTTGCCCCACCTTGTAGCGGCCTTGATCTTTCCACTGCCTCGATAGTTTTGCCTTTTGAAATGTATGTCACCTTCTCAGGTTGGCTTCTTGCATTTAGCAGTGTGCAGGTTTCTTCCATGACTGCGCTAGCCTTGATAATGTGTATCTTTTTATTACTAACGCCCCACTGTAGGGATGTATCACAGTTTATTTCTTCGTTTACCTACTGAAGAATGTCTTAGTTGCTTCCAAGGTCTGGCAGTTATGAATAAAGCTACTGTAAGTATTCATGTGTAGATTTTTGTGTAAACATAAGTTTTCAACTTTACTTTTTAATGTAAATTTATATTTTGAGTGGATAGTATATTAATGGGTTCAAAGATTAAATGATTTTGAAAAGGTTCACATTAAGACATCCTCCTACTTCCATCCCTATCTACCTGGATTCCCATTGTTTATATCTTTTTTTTCTATTAATTTCTCGCTCATCCCTCCAGTGATTATGCAAATGTAAAAAATAGAACAAAAGAAAACTGTGATTATCTAGCCTCTTTCTCACTTTTTTTTCCATGAAAGTAGCATATATGAGCCACGATTATTATCATGTAGCTTTCCTAAAAACACTGTATAACATATATATATTCTTTTCTTTTAAGTTTTAAGGAGTGAGAACTTCCCATGAAAACCTGCTTCATCCTCATCCATTGCAGGATATTTTAAGCTGTTGTATCCTAAGGTTTCCCTAGAACTTTGTACTCCAGTGTTGAGGCCCCAGGAACTCATTTCCTGTGGATAACCATATGCAAAAATCATTCTGTCCCATTTGACCCAGCAGTTCCCTTTCTGGGTATCTTCTCAGAAGAATTAAAAACATCATACCAGAGTGACATATGTGCATCCATGTTTATAGCAGCACAATTTTTTTTTTTTTTTTTTTTTTTGCAGTACGGGGGATCGAACTCAGGAACTTGCACTTCCCAGGCAGGAACTTATGCCACTGAGCTATATCCCCAGCCTAGCAGCACAATTTATAATAGCTAAGTCATGGAAACAACTCAAATGCCCATCAACCAAGGAATGAATAAAAAAGATGTGGTCTTTTTATACAGTGGAGTACTACTCTACCATAAAGAACGATAACCTGGAGACTTTTATAGGTAAATGGATCAACTTGAGACCATACTCACAAGTGAAATAAACCAGATGCGCACATGTAAACATAGTATTGTC